GGTAGCCACTAGCCACATGTGGCTATTGTACTTGAAATGTGGATGGTGTAATTAATGAATGGAAGTTTTAATTTCATTTCATTCTAATTAATTTAAATTTAAATAGCCCTATGTAGTTGTGGCTTCAGTATTAAACAGTACAGGTCTAAAGTCTTGCCCTTGAATCCTTCTTGTGTTACTGAAGCTGCTACCCCTGTCCTATGAATACTTACTTTATATATTTATAATCTTTACAAAGTGCTTAGTGAGCCTAAGTGAGCCTAATTTCCACTCAAGTGGAAATGCACCAGTGAAAACAGCAAACCGTAAGCAGTTGTAGCCAGGCAAGGATGGACTGCATTGTGAAAGGGGGTAAGTACAAATTTCTTCTGCCTCGTGGCTGAGACTCTAACCTTTAGGTTGTTCTTGTCCTACCAAAAAGCCAGGACTTTCAAGATCACCTCTCTCTATGCTACTGAGAGGAGGCAACTCTCTGAGCAGCCACAGACAGTTGGAGCGAGCCTTGTGCAGAAGGCTTTTTGGATGAGAGCAAACCTCCTTGGATTCTAACATGGCACAGATCCATGCACTAGCTCAGAAGAACATCAATAGATCAGGCTATAGAAATGCACTTGATGGAGGCTGACTTGAAAGTCTGACCTTTGGGCGGCTGCAGACAGAGAAACTGAGAACCATCCGTTATCAGCTGCGCAAGATCTGAGACAAAGCAGTGATGCAAACTGTCACAGGGCCCAGAACCCTGTGAGAAATAGAAGTCAGCTGAAAAAAAGTTGGAGCAAAATGAGACCCAGGAGAAGACACCTTGCAGAATCACTGTTGCTCCTGCAACGGGTTTCAGCACATGCCCAGGGTTGGGAGTATTTGAGTTATAAGAATTACATCTACTCAGACAGCTTGCCCATCCTTAGTCTGGCCTCTTTGGTCCTTGAAATACTTGGCTTCAGTGACCTTCACCTTGAATCCATTACCATCTATCCACTACCACTGCCAACACAGTGACACCCAGAGCCATATTCTCCCGTTGCAGGGCTCCATTACTAAAACCTTATTTTCGATCATTTTACTCTCTGAATGCCACTTCCTGTCTGTCTAGCCTCTCTCAGCCTTGTACCTTCTGCACAGTTTCCTCAACAGCATTGGGGTCACCTGGCCCTCAAAATCTGTATCTGCACATCTACCTCCATGGGCTTTTAAAATCAAGCCTGGACCATATGGCCCATTTTTAAGCACTTCTGTTGACATCATCATCTTCCCTTTCCCATGGCCCTGGATCAAGGTAGGTGTCTTTCTTCTTTTCTACAGTAAGAGCGGCTGGGAGCTCTTAGAGAAAACTGAACTACAAAACTTCAACCATCTCCTATTTAAAAAAATATTCTTCCTTTAGCTTTCATGTTTTAACTCTGCCCTGGTGTTTCTTCTACCTCTTTGGCCAGCCCTTCTCCATCTCCTGCATGGTTCCTTGACAGAGCTTCACAGAGCTGTCTTGTTTTTCATCTCTTCTGGTAGATACTCTCCCTGGATAAGGTCATCTGCTCCTCCCATGCTTCAAATACCACTTGAATGTTAATGGTTCACCAATCTAAAACCCCCTGTTCTCATGCCTCTCTAGCCCTCCAGTCTTCTGGAATTTAAATAGTCCCTATGGTAGGAGGTGAACATGACAACCACACTCTCTTCTCCCTCATGCCAGTAACAGTCTGTTTCCATCTCTCCAGATGGCAGACGGTCCAAAATAGAACACTCTTTCGTTCTTCATGTTCTAGCAACTGCTCCTCCTGCTCCATTTAAAATATTCTTTCTGAAACACCTGTTTTTCCTCCTTGGTTTGAGCCTAAGGAATAAAATCCAGAATCCATCAACACCGGAACCAATTCTTGGTAAGTTGGGTTGTCCGGGGGCTGAAAAAGGGAAAGCTGCAATACAATTAGGGTGAGCTGAAGTGAATGTTAACCCGCCTACATTATCTGGGGCCCACACTTCCTCCCTTTTGTTTCCCTGCATGGTCTTTCCGATTGTGCCTTTGTGCCACACTCACCAGATTGACCTTGTCTCTTTAGTTTCAATGGTGGTGACATGTCCCTTTAATCATAGTTATGTGTGTCCTTAGTCGCCATATTTAGAGTATGGGACAGCCCCATCGGGAACAGCCCTGCAGTAGTATTTATCCCACTATGTCTTATTTCTGGTTGTCTCTTTTTGTATCTGGCTCCTCTTCCCCAGTCTGGTGTGATGAAATCCCGGCATGCGGATAGACTTGGCGACAAACGGTATTACTTTCAGAGCTAAATCTTCTTGCAGTCTATGTGGGAGCGCCTCTTGCCCATCCCTCCACCAAAGTGGGACACATAGCACTCCTCGTCTTCAGGCCCCAGCAAAGGAGGCCCAGAGAGCTGGGGAACTAAGTGAAATAAATGATACCTTGAGAAAGAGTATCCAAGTATAATTGCTGTTTTCCATCTCTCCCAATGTGGACGGGGACTCAGGAACCCCTCAGGCTGCCCCATGCTAATAAATCCTCGAAAATGTTCATTTCCCCTTCCCAATTGGACACCATCATGTGCTCATATCTGAGAATCAGATGGTAACGATGCCAATTTTGCTCACTGCAGCTCCAAGGGACCAGCAGAAGCCTTCTGTGGTTGTTTTATGTGCTCCCCATCTGGGCTGCACAGTTATTAAAGGAATCCTGGAAGAAATCTGGCAATTTTTTCTCTTCTTTCCAATGAAGAGTCTTCTTTCTTTAGGAGTTGACTGGATCTCCAATTTGTACTGCAGCTCATCATTGTGCATTTCAAAGTCATAGTCTTAACTACCCGCCCCTGTCAAATGCAAAGGGCTCAGGGATTTCTCATCAGGGAGTAAAGAGAACTTGCAGTGGATATTAGAGGCCACTAGCCAGATTCCTGTCTCTGTGTACTCAGACTGTCATACTCCCGGCCCTCCAAGCCAGAGCTGCCCCACCGTGTACTAGGCCTGAAGCATCCCATAAAAGCAGGTCACAAGTCCTAGCTCTGGAGGAGGTCCCTCGGCGGTCCCCAGCACTTGCCTGGACCACACATCAAATCCCAGCCCTATTCCTGCCTAGCCGGTTCCTTATCCCCCATTAGGTACCCAGGCTACATTCACCACCACTGGTCTCTCCTGGGTAATGTGTCCTCGCAGACTCTTTCTGCCCTCAGTGTTCCTTGGCTCAGAGAATGGCACCATCCTCCATCCCACTAATTAGCCAGAAACTGGGAGTCACCCAGGACAATGTCTTTTCCTTCCCACCCACCTGCCCACCCCGTAGAGAAGTCATCACCAAAGCTGCTGCCCATTCTCCCCTGCTCAAGGCCCTCCCTCCATAGCCACAACCACTCAGCCTTGGGTGGCTGTCCCTTCTCATCTGGGAGCAATGTCTTCCGGCCCTTTCCCATCCAGCCTCATCAGGGGCCACTTGTCCTTGAATTTTCTGCCCACCGCTGTCCTCCTGGCCTTTTAGTTTTTCTAACCTCATCTCCTGACTCTCCAGCCTGGTGTGATCCCCTCTTAGGTGAAACAGCGAGACACAGAAGGAAGAAAAACCAGCAAGGTGTGTGTTGTCGAGCTGGCTCCCCTTGCGGGCAACCCGGGCTCAGTCCTAATGGAAGTATGTGAGGACCCACGTGGCATGCACCTCAGAATGGCCCATCCGGAGGATAGGAAGCCGGGCAAGCCTGGACTCCCGTCCCCGGTTGGCATTCAATCCCGTGTGTTTCTGAGCTGTATCTGCCTACTCACATGCACCGAGGTCTGTGGGGCTTTGGAGGGAGCACTGAAGCCAAGAAGAAGAGAGGGAGGGGGGCTGGCGCTGGAGGAGGGGTCCTATCCCTCTGCATGGAACCCACCCAGCTCAGCTGCAGCTGAAATCAGAGGTGGGGTGGAGAGGAGGCCCCGAGGCAATGAGAATGGGCTGCAACTGCAAACGGGTCCATGTCGTCAGTGTCTGGTACCATTTGCCCAGAGCTCTCTCTGCCATTAGGATGTCTGCACGTGGGCCTGCTTGCTCATTTCTGGGTCTCCGGTGTTCAGCCCAATGTCTGGCACATGGCTGTTTGCTCAAATTCCAATCAGGTATTTACTAACCTAATGAATTATGAACGGAAAAACCTGACTCCTCTCCTGAGATCTGGTCTCACCTCTTCTGCTTCGTTTTGATTTCAGGTTCCCAGTCTGGTCCCCCGTATTTATAAGGTCTCACTAAAGGAAGCTCATGGGGGCCCCAGGCCCCTTCCCAAAGATACTTTGGATCTGCTTTCCTCTGATTTCACAACATATGGGGGCCTCTCCTCCAAGTCGAGGGCACTGTTCTTAGCCCTTGATTTGCTGGCCTTTTGGCAGTGGAGATGCCCCAGCCCCATCCGCTTGATTTCGTGTCTCTGAAATGTGCCGAAATCTGAGGATGTGTTTGGAAGGAATATTGTTTTGAGGATTTTGGGACACTCCTGGAGATCACTGCACATTCCCTGATGTGTCACACCCTTGCCAGCACCCTGCAGGCAGATCTTCATGGTGTCCGAGCAGCAAACAGCGAACAGGCATCAGTGCACAGCAGGCCTCAGAGAAGCACCTTCCCCGTGGCTCCTAGGGCAGGGAGTGGCTCTCTGTCAACAGCTGGGCCACCCCAAGGAGCAAGCTGAACAACGACCGGACACGCCTTACACAATTTACCTTATTGGACTTTTAAAACAATCTGTGACGTGGGTACTCCCATTTTCCCAGCAAGCAGCTTTAAGGTCAGAGAAATGAAGCAACTGGCTCAAGGCCACTCAGCGAGTCAACTGCGTAAGGCTGGATCTGATTCCAGAAGCCTTTGCTGTTCCGATGGATCCAACTGGGAAGTGAGCTACGGTAGGAGGAACCTAAGGGTCAGGGGCTGGTAGAGACCGACACTACAAGTCCCTGGCCGGGGAGCACAGCCCGCGTGAGTGGGAGCCCAGACGGGAGCCGATGCGTCCCGCCGCAGGGTGGGACCCGGACACCGGCCAGGTAGAGAAGACAAGGTCGGCACGGAGAACGGCAAGGCAAGCGCTCGACTGCTGAGAGGCGAACACAGTGTCCTCTATACCTGTCAGGACAAAGGCCAAACCCAGAGTGAAGATTCTCTACCTGGCTCCAGGCTGCTCCTTTGCCTCCCTCCCCTTCTCCTCCCGAGCGCGCTGCGGTTCTCGGTGCGGTTCGTGACCACACGTGTACCTTCTCTGCCTCGTCTCCCACATGTGCTGCTTCCCCCTCCTTCATGGAGCAAACTCCCCTCAGCTGGCAACACTGCCTCCAGGAAGCCCTTTTTGCACCTGAGCTCATCAGGCTCAGGATGGATGCCTCTGCACAGAACACTCTCATAGAAACTTCTGACCAAGCATTTTTTTCTTTCTCTGATTGTCTTCCTGACAGAACTACATGTCCAAAATGGTAGCCATGAGCTATGAATGACCTTGAAAGACTCTTTAAAGTAACTTAAAAATTTAAAACTCCAGTTCCTCAGTCACACTGGTCATATTTCAAGTGCTCAGCAGGTGGTTGAGTTGGAGGTGATGACTGTTTGGAGGTGATGACTGGACGGCACAGACACAGGACATTTCCATCGCTGCAGGAAGTTCTACCGGGGGATGCTCTTATGGATTCGGAGACAGCTGAAGGCAGCACCTGTGAACTGCATCTCCAGTCCCAGGACGTGACATCTACTAGGTGTGCAAAACAGACGTGCTGAATCACTTGCTTAATTGTGTTTCCGAGGGCCTACTAAATGCCGGCCACTGTCCCAGGGAAAGGGCATCCATCAGTGTCAAGCCTCAGGTTTGCTGGAGCTCATCGTCTAGTGAGGGGCGGGCAAGACACAGAGCCAAAGAAAACCTACTGGCAGGTACATAACACAATTAAAGAAAGAATGAGGAAGGAAACCCCCTGGGTCCTGCTGAGTAAACACTGGTAAAGGGGGCAGAGTGAAGGGGAATAAAACCAGAAGCGGAGGTCATAGCCAGATTCTGATGGGCCTTGAATTCCGTGCTAAGAAGGTCGAACCTCACAGGGTGGAAAGCCAGTGACTCACTTAAGAATTTAAGGGAGTACTCCAGCAGCTCAGTGGGGGATGGACTGAAGGAAGAACAACTGATGGCAGGCAAACCAGCAAGGCCACCACGGCAGGTCAGGGGAGTGGGTGCAGTGTGGCAGAGGGGTACAAGAGAGAGCTAATCCCACCGCTGATTCTGGGGTGCGGTGGTGGGCAGGTCCCTGTGACTGACAGGAGGGGAAGGAGAGCAGGGGGACGGAAGGACATCCCCAAAGAAGCCAGCTGGGGACCTGGGGGGAAGGTCTGCTACGGACTCTGGGGCTCTGCTTCAGGGACTGCATTATGGGTGATAAATTCACGGCCAAGTTACTTTCTTATGAAGGTTGCCACAGATACATCAGTGTGACAGGTGAGGCGTGGGGGAAGAAGGTTTGGTGGGTTCGAGTTGGAGCTGAATATTAGATTCTAGTCACAATTTGATTGATCTTTTAAGCAATTCTGGGATTCTGTCACTTAAAAACCAATAAATCTTTGAAGGCCTGGGGAAAGCAATGCAAAAGCAATAAATCTCCATTGTGGAATATTAGAAAAATAGGCCAAGCTTCCGAGGTGGTTTGGATGGAGAGATGGGGGTGCAGGAGCCCCGCAAGACAATCCACTCTTCTCCTCCTCATCTCCCTGCAAGCTCAGTTCTACCAGGCAGAGCCGGACCCCTGGGGCTTCCCAGGGGCAGCAAGCAGCAGAGCAGGGGCTGGGGTCTGGCTGAACTAGGGCCAGAACACTGCTGGCACAAGGTGGGAGAGAGCTGCAGGGGGCAGGGAGGGGGCCTGCAGCCGAGGCTCAGGAGAGAGCCTGCTGGAGAACCGGCTGCTTCACTCAGGGACGTGCTGGGGTTCACAAGTTACAGGCTGGACCTGCACCATCCTGGGCTGGAGGCCCCCTGTGAAGTCACCTTGCCTGCCCCAAATTCCCAAGTCAATGAGAGCTCACTCAACAGCCCTACCAAAAGGTTACCGAGACCTCACAGGCAGAGAATACAGAATGTCCTGAGGGAGCAATGAACTCAGAAGCAGGAAGCGAGGTCTGTGTACTGGCTCCATGGAAACGAGCTCCATGACCTTGGGCCAACCTCTTAGCATCTTAGACCTCAGCTTCCTCCTCTGATATGCAGATGGTACTCCCCACCAGCTGACTCACTGGGTAAGCGAAGATCACATGATACAATGGAATTAAAGGAGCTATCAACCAGAAAATACGATTCCAGGCATCCATGACCCAATCCATCCAGTGCGCTCACTGTGTCCTACAGTTAGAGAGCCTTCACTGTCTTCTTGATGCCCATGCTTCCCTGACCTGTGGGACTCCTCACTGGCCTGCTTGCCAGGGTTGTGCCCATTCCTCTGGCCAGTCCAGTTCTCTCCATCAATACACTGTCCCCACAGGCTTCATAGTATCTTGTTCTGCCAGTTTCAGTACTGGGTCTGCTTACCTGCTCCATGCCCTGCCTCCCTCCACATTTGCATGCACACTTGCTGGATGCTAAGCCTCAAGAGGACAGGTGTGTATCGACCTTGTGTCTTGCTCTATCCCCATTGCTTAGCTCAGTTCTTGGGACACAGCAAGGGCTCAATATATATATGCTGAATGACCTAATGGCCAACTGCCTCCCAGATGGACATCCTAGTGCCTAGAGTTCAAGGTGAAAGAGGGTTAAGGTAACTGAAATCTTCTGTGCCATTGCCACTGCTGTCATTGCCATTGACCTGGAAGTCATGCAGGCTGACACTGGCTAGTCTCCTTCCCTTCTTGGCAAATGCCCAAACAACAGTCCGAAAATAATTCCCGAAACTGACCGTATACCCACCCTCAGTGATCCAGAGCCTTGAGAAGAAAAGCAGCCAGACATTTCGAGACACCAAGCATTGCCCCTTTGAGCGGTGACATTTAATTTTTTTTTCCAATGGAAATGTCACGAAAATATGGCATGCACAATTTTCTCTTTGGGAGGTAGTGTGAAATGAGCGCTGGCTTAAGGTCAGCTGAACTGAGTTTAAATTCTGCCTCTACCACTGCTTGTCTCGTGGCCTGGGTCAACTTACTTGGCTTCTATTGATCTCAGTTTCTGTATCTGCAAAATGGGGAGACGATTATGGTAATGTTGTGAGGTTACAGAAAGTTTATGTATGGCAACAGGCACGTAGTGAGGGCTTCCTTATTACACGGAAACTAGCAGGCTCTTTTCACTTGAAGACGCAGAAACTAACGCTACATTTTTAGTTGAATCAGAACAGCTAATGAACATCCATGGCTATGAGTGGCTGCGGGGGCCACAGCAGGTACACCTCCCTGTTTGCTGAGTCATTTGTGATTGTTTTGTAGACTTGCCCTGTTTTTTTTGCTCCCTGCTCACTGTCATTTCTCACTGCTACTGGGGCATTTCCATTCCCACCTCCTAATCACGGCAGTCTTAGGATGCAATGAGCTTAGTGCAAACTAAGAGCATGCAGGCTCAGAGGGGAAATGTAAGGGGCCCCTTTTGGGGGGGACTGGAAAAGCTTCCCCAGGAACATTGGTTTGGGCTGCTCAGAGGACCCTTTTGCTGGTCTCTGGAGTTGGGCAGGCCTGGGTGTTAAGTCCCATCACATCACTTACTGGCTTTGTGACCATAAGCTTTTAGTTTCCTCATTTCTAACAGGGATATAATAATACGAATAGGTTAGTCAAGGTTAAATTCTTGGAACCTAACAGTTGCCCAATAAGACATGGTGATAATTACTCCCATCTGTGTTCAGCTGGGCTTGATGAGTTTTCAGAGGCTCACAGATATATAATTTGATTCATTTTGAGGATGGGACCCTGGATCCTCTGTAGAAAAAGTAACTTGATCCTGCCACTGGGCAAGACCAAGATTGCTTATTTCTCAGTATAACACTTTTTTTTTTTTCTGAAAAGAAGTTTCTGTGCAACTTTCTGCTGGAATGAAGTTAGGGGCTCCTACGTAAAAAAACAAAGCCCTTTCTTTCCTACCATGGAATTAGGGTCTCAAAAAGCTCTGGAAATTTGAACAGGTTGTAAGCCTCATCTCATCACTTACTGGCTCTGTGACCATGAGGAAGTGGGCAACACTGTGACCCTATAGTGAGGGTAGATTTTCAAAAAAACTGTTCTGAATAGAACCCCCTAAGTGCCACAGAGAAGAAGCAAAGCTAAGGGAGGAACTAACTCTCTAAGGTCTGCCTTGCTTTGGGCACTTCCATATTTTATTCAGCCTCTATGAAACAGCTACCATCCATGCCTTCCTGATAAGGAAAACTGAGGGTCGGGGAGATTAAGTATCTTGCCCAAAGTCACACAGCAGGGATGGAGCAGCATCTGAATCCAGGTCAGCTGTCACCAAAGTCACATCCTCTCCATCACCCCACACAGCAACCAGCAGTTGGAAGCAAGCTAGAGAGAACCTGCACCTGCTGGGAGCCGCACGGTTGGATGCCAGCTGATGAGGTCGCCTTGCTGATCTGCAGGCTTGCAGTAATGCAAGGGGACACTGGGGTCTCCAATATAAAGGTCATAGGCTTTCGGTCAGATCTGGCATGTGCACCTGGGTCAGCTGCTAACTTGCTCTGCAATGTTGCACAAGCTGTTCCTTTTTCCCGGACCATACTCTTACCACCTAAGAAACTCTCTTAGATTTTGAAGTAGTGACCAGTGCTGCTGTATGAGAGGCTGAGCTGGGAAAGGGAGAGAGGCATTGGTGGCCCAAGGGGAACATATGATTTGGCACCTGGAGGACCTGCATTTGAGTTCAGCTCTCCTACCAACTCCTGTGTGTTCCTGGGCATTTCTGAGCCTTGGTACCTTCACGTGAAAATGAGGACAATCACTTATAGAATGTACAGAGAGAGTGAAATCCGTGCATAGAGAGAAGCAAAGGACCACGTTGCCTGAGAGTAACAGGGAGAAAAACAGTAAGTCAGGTGACGATTCATCTGACGGAAGAGCCACCATCTGCTCTGGCTCATCACAGGTAGGACAGTTCTGGAACAACCCATGTGGAAAATATAAGACAAAAGTTCTATGGCCAGATGCTCCATGAGTACTACACACACCTGTTGCAAGGCCTAACTTAGAGTCAAACACTGTTCGAAATCTTTAGAATACATGGCAACTTCCAAGCTGTTGGCCGTTGATTCTGTTTCCTCTGCCACCTACACTTTCTGGGTAGAGCTGGATCCAGGTCGGAAAACAGAGAACTAGACCCTCTCAATAGCCTCCATCCTGGCTGGTCTTCCAGCCTCCAGTATCATAAAAGTAACATTGCAGGGGACTATCCAGTGGCTCCCTAAGGGCCCTCAGAGAAGCTGGAACTTCTCAAACATGGCCCCCCTTCTCACCCAACTGCTCCTGCCTTGACCTTGATGCTAAAGGAAAGTCCTGAGCCTTGAATTAACTACTCCTGGTTGCTCCCATGATATCAGGCTGTTTCTCTCCTTCATGCCTTGCTCATGTTGAACCCTCTTACTACTTTGGCAAAATCTTATATAACATTTAAGATACAGCTTGGTGTCACTTGAGAATGTCAGCTGGGAATGTCTTCCCTGAGCTTTCATAATGACCTATGTATATCTCCATAAGCATGCACTGTATTGTAATTATGTTCTCATGTTTCTTGCTTCCCAACTCAAGTGTGACTTTCTTTAGAAAATGACTCCTTCACAGCTGGTTCACTGCTGTCTCCCAGGCAGTTAAACAGTGCCGGGCCCTGAGTGAGTGCCCAATAAATGTTTGCTGAAGGAATGAATAAACAAATCGTTTTGATCCCTTGTGCCCCATCCATTCCTGGCATATAAGATGCTCAACGCATGCTTGTTGAACTCAGCTGAGCCGATTTTTTTTTTTTTTAAAGTAGGTTCCATGCTCAGCATGGAGCCCAACACAGGGCTTGAACTCATGACTCAGATCAAGACCTGAGCTGAGATCAGAAGTCAGATGCTTAACTGACTAAGCCCCCCAGGTGCCCCCAAACTGAACCAATCTGAAAGCTGCAACCCTGGGGCGAAGTGTAGTTGCTGGCAAAGTCCAAGGGAAGAAGCTTTCTCACCTGACAGGGGCTCCCCGTGACTGAGCGGGCTTCAGCATCACTGTGATGGTCGTGTCTGTCTCATTCAGTGGGGTGTCTGTGTCATATTCAGGCATCGATGGAGCTGGGCAGAGAGCAGAGAGAGGGGGGCACTCAGCACGGGTCCCAAACCCAGCTCACCACCTCCCCGTTGGGGCCATCCCTAAAGATACCCAGGATGACCAGTAGCGGGACAGGTGGGAAAGGGTTGGGTGAGAGTCACATGGTGTCCCAGGCTTTCAGCAGAGAATGCTCTCCTTCCCACCTGCCCGCAGGTCCCTCCCAGGTGCACAAGAGTCTGGGGAAGAATGGCCATGAGATGGCCAGCAGCCCTCAGGAATCAAAAAGTTCCACACCAAATAAACAGATGCAGGAAGTCTAAGTACTTAACAAAGACATGAAGGCAGAGCCGATCTTCTTCAACACATTTGAAATGCAAATTACAGCAGTGATGAACTAGTTCCTCTTATCTTTTCTCTCTCTCTTTTTTTTTTTCATGAGACCCTCCCTTCTCTCAGCCCCAACTGATAGGAGTATGAAAGTCTAATCCCTTGGGAAGGTAATCTAGCCATTTATATTAAGAGCTATTAAAACCCACATGCCTTTTAATTCAGTATTTCAATTTCTGGAATTTAATCCTAAAGTTATAATCCAAATCAAGGAATTAAACTTTATTCTGTAACATGTTTATTGAAGCATTATGTTATAAAAACATGGAAGCACCAAATATATCCAACCACAGGGGAATGTTTAATTAAATTACGTCCATCCACTTGCCAGAACATTATCATGAAAGCAATGTACCAACATGGAAAATGCTTATGGTATAAAGATAAGTGAAAACATTAAGCTGCAAAAACCACTGTGGGTATCTATGCAAAATATGTATGTATGCAGGCCAGAACTGCACAGGTAGTCTCAAAAAATGAAAATTGTAAAATGGGATCCAAGATAATTCTATATTGATGTTGCCCGGTGGTGGAGGGGGCCCTCCTGGGGATGGCAGGCAAAATCTCAGACTTCTAAGGCTTTGTACTAGTCATTCATTCGTTCGTTCATTCATTCATTCATTCATTCATTCATTCATTCATTCTCAGACATTTCATGAGAACTTGTGCTGTGCTCTGTACTGCCAAAAGGAATATTGCTGAAAGCACATTTTTACAAACCAATTTGTATGAGAAAAAATGTACTATTTAATGCAGTTGTGTGGTAAATTATTTGCTGAATCACTTAGCGTTCCTGGGGTCTAGTCTAATTAGTATGTTTTTTACACTTTAGGAAGTTCGTGGATTTGGTTTCTTCACAAGACTACCATGCTAACACGTTAGGGACTGCATCGTCCTAATTGCTCCAATACCACCAGGTGACAGCTGGCTCTGCCCTTTTTTGCTCCCAGAAAATTAGGAATGGGGGGAAAAAACCCAGAATAAGCTTCTTCCCTTTTCCCTTTCTATTAAGAGAGATACCTGAAATTTTGGTGGCAATCCTAGTGGTGACAGGGGGCCCGAAGCCCTTTGCTGTGCTGGCCTTGATGGTGAAGGAGTAGGTGGTCCCCGGGTACAGACCCACAAAGAGGTGGTGGGTTTCATTCCGGAGCTTGAAGACTTTCCCCCGCTGGCTGGAGAGGTCAGCACTCGGGTCCAGTGAGCCAACAGCCTTGTAGTTGATCTGTACAACAAGTCAGCAAACAAACAAGTAAATACCTCACTCAGGAAGCTGGACAGAGCTCATCCAGGGGAACATCAGGAGAAGCAAAGAGAAGGAGGCATGTGGGCTTGAAAAGCAAGCTCTACTGTGACCGTCCACCTTCCAGATTATCCCAGCCTCGAATACTCCACTGTTGATACACGGGAGCCTTGCTGCCCAACAGAAACAGAATGTGAGCCATGCACATGCTTTTCAACCTTCTAGTGGTCACGTGAAAAGAGAAGAAAGTAAAATTAATTTTAATAATATATTTTGTTGAACCCGATATTTGCAAAGAATTATTTCAACCTGTCATCAGCCTTAAAACTTGACGTGGTATCTTATATTCTGTTATTCATATTAGATCTTAGAAATCTAGTATGTACTTTGTCCTTAAGGCACATCTCCATCTGGACTAGCTACATTTCAAAAGCATAGGAACCACGTGTGGCCAGAGGCTGCCATATTGGACAACACCAAGAGCGGGGTTTATGCACAGCACCCAATAAGAATGGTTTGGAAGGCTAATTTAAAAGGCAGTTCCCATTTCCCTTGGTGTCCACGTGGCACTTTCTGGTGCTTTTTCTTTTTTTACTGCTCTTCACTTTATTTTTTTTTATTTATTTTTATTATTATGTTAATCACCATACATTACATCATTAGTTTTTGATGTAGTGTTCCATGATTCATTATTTGCATATAACACCAAGTGCTCCATGCAGAACGTGCCCTCCTTAATACCCATCACCAGGCTAACCCATCCCCCACCCCCCTCCCCTCTAGAACCCTCAGTTTGTTTTTCAGAGTCCATCGTCTCTCATGGTTTGTCTCCCCCTCCGATTTCCCCCCCTTCATTCTTCCCCTCCTGCTATCTTCTTTTTTTTTTTTTTAACATATAATGTATTATTTGTTTTCTCTGGTGCTTTTTCATGCATTATCTTGTTCCTCTTCCCCAAACCTTGGGGCATCAGGATACTTATTCTCATTTTTAATGTTGGAGACACTGAGGCTCAACTGGAAGTAACTTGCATGAAATCAACACTTTCCAAACTCTCTACGGTGAAGGCCCAGTTTTGTGTTTCTCAATCCACTGCGGACCCATCATGATCTGCAGACCACATGGGACTCATCACGTGAGTCTGGTCATAGCCAAATTGGTCTGCACTCCGTGCAATGAGACCCATCCACTCATCCCACACTTGGGTGTTGCAGCCATGTCAAGGTACTACGAGAGTTTCTAAGCATTCACTCTCAATTTCTGCACTTACCCTGCTGTGAAAGTAACCAAACAGGTGGCATTCCAGCACCAGCCCCCACAGATCACATTTTGAGTGCCACGTTCCTAAATCACACAGTTGTTAAAGTGACGAACACAGGATTGTGTGTTTGTTTCATCTAGTCTGTTCTAACCCAGCACCCAGTCAAGAGACAGAACATCACTGGAACCAAGACGTAGGCTTTGTACCCCCTTCCGATCCGCCCCTCCCCCCTCCCCCCCCGCCCCCACAACCCAGCAAGGATAACCTCTATCCTGACTTCTAACAGCACAGACTAGTTTTGCCCGGTCTTGTATTTTATATAAATGGAACCATACACGGTGTACTCTTGCATGTCTGGCTTCTTTCACTCCACATTATGTTGGTGAGATTCATGCAGGCTGTCCCGTGTCACTAGAGATCACGCATTCTCATGATCATGCACTGTTCTACCACCGACACATGAGCAAACCCAGGTCTGCTGGATCTGAACGCTGTGCTCCTTATTCTGTAAGGAGCTGCCGGGCTTGGAGACAAACACGTCATTACCTAAAGAATGCATTCATCCATTTACTCATCCACTTATTTGCTCCTTCACAAATGTTTCCCGTGCAGGCCTGTATTCTGGGACCTGTGCTGTGTTCTGCTGGGAACAGCCCACGTGAATGCAGGCTTGACCTTGTGCCCTGGGGTCTTCCATTCCAGAGCGAGGTAAGGCAAAGACACAGACACCTAACATCACTCTGTCTTCTGTAAAGAACGTCTCAGACTTGACGGGAAGACCAAACCCAGACTGAAACAGGAACACACCAACTTCATAACCAAAATAAGCAGTTTGCTGTTTCTGGCAAGGGCACCAGACGTTTTGGAGACAGAGGTAAGTTCTCTGTCCTCCGTTCAGCAGTAGCTGTGTAGCAATCAATGTCACCTGCCGAGGAGCGAGGCCAGACTCCTTGGAGCAGAGCAAACCCTGGAGGAGAAACACGCGGAGCCTAAGGATTTGGGCACTTTGCAAGCAGAGCCACCGGCCAGGAGCACCCGGGGCCGCAGGTCCTTGGTGAACCTGTTCCCAACTTTCCCTCTGGTCACCTCTGCTGCCTCCACGCTTCTCAGAGGGAAGCACTGCAAACATCTGCCTCTCTGTGCGTGAGTGCTGTTCCGAGGCGGGGGGGGGGGGCACTTGCAGGAAGCTCTGGATAATTAGCACCCCAGCGACCACACTAACGGTAGCTGATGTACACATTCGCTGGGCTCCTCCCACGTGACACCCCCACAGCATCCCAGGGGACTTCCTGGAGGGATTCCACTCTGACTGCCTCCAAAGGTAGCCAGCTGGGGAACACATCCATCACTGGCTACCTTCCTTTCCCTTCCCCACTCCCGCTTCTCAGTAATCTACTTGTATTCGAGTCTGTGTCTCAGGGTCGCCAAACTAAGACAGTGTGCTCCTGGAGGTTTCTCAGGGGAGAAGTGAGCTGACGTCTGATGATGACAGAGTCAGAGCACAGGTGAGAGCATTCTAGGTTCACAGCAAGGGGAACTGCCTGGGTGAAGGCCTGGGGGAGGAACAGGGTGGGGAGGAGTGAGGAGAGCCCAGTGTGACTGGAGGGTGGTGAGCAAATGGGAGAGCTGAGCCCCCCGTGTACAGCTGGATTCCAGTTTCCCAGTGGCACAAGAACAGAGACATCCAGAGAGCTCTGCTGGGTGGCAGCCGACCCCAGTCCATCAGGTGCTCATGCATTTTGAAATTCTGCCCCTGTCCCCCTGCCTGGGCTGGTGGCAAGCACACTGATATGCAGACACTGGGAGGTAAAACTCATGCCTTATTTACTAGCCAATTCCTTTTCTGCGCTCCAAATTCAATCCAAAAGTGACTCAATTTCCACCGAGCTGTCAATATAATATACTGTGCTCCCCTGCTCTCCTAACCTTTCCTGGTATTACAGGATCCTCACTTACTTGTAATGAAACACTATGAATAAATCAATGTATGTTAATATAGCGTGTCTTCAATTTTTTATGAAGGGCTTCACCAAATCTAATTCCCACTGCCTTGTCAGAAACAGTCTTTGAAAAATTTAACTTGCAAGTTTTACAAAGTTAGTCGGGGATTGGGCTGGGGAGGGAAAGCCAGGAGGTGAGAAAAATGGAATGGGATGGAGCTGTGTGGCCATGAAATGCATAATGCAATGTGAACTTTGGAATTGGAAGAAGAGCAAGATTTGTTAGAATAGCAAACATAAAATAGTTAGTGGGGGAAAGGGTGCTGAGCTGCCTATCAACCCGGGTCTCTTTTGATCGCTGTCAGGGAGATTCCCAGCCAGAAGCCAGAGTGAGCACTTCATATGGAGAATCCAGTCATATCACCCCTTAGAGTAAAAAAAGCAGTGGCTTCCCATTGCTCTTGGGATTAAGAGCACACTCTTACCCTGTGGTTTTCATCACTCTCTGCATGAGCTGGCCTCCCGCACCATCCCTTTTGTGTTCCAAGGCTCTATTCCAGTGTCTGAAAAGAGCTATGGTTCCTTTGGCCACAGGGTCTTTGCACCAACTATTCTGTCAGCTGAAAACACTTAACCCTCCCATGCCTTCCTTTCACCTAATCAATGACTCCTCATCTTTATATCTCACTTAAAATGACACTTCAACAAATGGATGGTCACCAGAGGGGAGGTGGGTGGGGGGATGGGTGAAACAGATGGTGGGGATTAAAGAGGACACTTATCCTGAGAAGCACTGAGTAATGTACAGAAATGTTGAATCACAGTATCATACACCTGCCACATGTAACACTGTATGTTAACTATACTGAAATTTACAAAAATAAACACATAAAAGGCACCCTCCCCCTGCAAATGACACTTTCCATGAGTACCTTCTCCGACTCTCCGGTCCTCCTATTTTATGTTCCCAGAAGAACATCTCTTCCCTTTGAACCACTAACTTTACAGTGAGCCATGCAATTGTTTCATTCACGAGTCCCTTTTCCACTAGCCCAAGGGTTGAAAAAAGGAAAACCTGGAAGCCAAATGTGTCTCATCATGTGTGTTGGTACGTAAAGGTTTACCGGAGCACAGCCCACGCCTTTCAGTTATGGATCACTATGGTTGCTTCCACACTTCAGGGGGGGGAATTAAGTCATGGCAGAGAGACTATGGCTCATACACTGTAAAACATTTACTCTCTGCTGCTTTACAGAAAAAGTTTGCTGACCCCTGTAGTAGACTTTAAGCTCCACAAGGGCAAGGATCTTATCCAGTTAAGATACATGCTTCCCCATGCGGTATAAATGATCAAACTAGCTATGCAGTTTGAGCAATTTGCTTCACTTCTCTGAACGTAGGGTTCTTCCAGCGTTAAATAATCATTTTAATTTTGGTTTCTGTTTGATGTTGCAGAGTGACCCTCACTTCTTCACTCCTGGAAGGCAGCCTCTTTGATCAGGAATGAGGCTCCAGGGGGGTCCATGAGCAGCTTCTGCCTTTGCATCAAGGCTCTGGCCGCCATGGACCATGGGTCACCTTGTGAAGAACAAGCAGCCTTTCTAGCCCAGGCTGCAGAGGATGGGGCAAGAGAGATAGGAAGAACAGAAGGAAATGATTACCCTCAAAAAGCCCCACCAGGAAAGACCTGTTTGTTTCTTAAACACGCTCAGATTGAGCCATGCTGTGGTCCAGGCACTGGGCTGGGTATGGGGTAAATTCAGACAGAGCAGCTGAAGAGATT